AGATAAATGTGTTCAATGAGTGGAGGAAAATATGAGTGAGCACCAAGCAACAACCCTAGGTTCTCCCCTGAGAACCTGACCTGAGTTTTTGTGTTAGCAGATGTTAATATTGAATTGTGACTGTTATCAGATTTGACATATTTTAAATTGTATTTCCAGAGAACAAGCTTTATTCTGATGACTGTATGAAAACACAATGTTTCTCCCTCAGCAACCAGAATATCATCTAAGAATATCGTCACAATGTTTATTTGTTGAAAGGATTAAAAAAGACTGATTGTGTGTCTGAAAGTCTGTCTTCTGTCAGAAACGTTCTTAAAACAGAATTACACAGGAGGCCTGCTAAAACGAGTGTGTTCCTGTGTTTTTATGGCTCAGTATTAATTTACATGTGTTTGTTGAGGCTGCAGAGAGCCAAATGAAACATGTAGGAGGATTTATTTTAAATCCTGTGTGTCTCTTACTGCTAAAGGTCCAGAGAGCATTCAGAGATATCTGTAAAAAAACCTTTGTCTTTAAGCTCTTTTTAACTYGTCATGTTGGTTAGGGTTACTTTTTTAAAACATGTAACATAGAGCAGACACGTCTTATTTACCATAAAAGAAAATCCTCTTAGTGTTTTCAGTTACCTTTAAGCTCGAACTGTGACTCCTCCCTCCTCCTCTCCAGCTCCTTCCTGTCGTAGTTGAGCCTCCTCAGACTCATCACTCCACACTGAAAGCTGTTCCTGTTCACAAACACACAGTCCTGCTGTTTGTCTGAGCTCTGCTGGCTGTTACAACCACTCTCTGGAGTCATTTCCTGTATTTATCCTCACTCACATTAAAGATGAATTCAAGTCAAGTAAAGATGTTCAGTTTAACGATACACATATTTTATAAAACGACAACGAGCAGGTCATCCTAACCTGTGCTCAGGACAGGATGTCCTCCGTCCTACCTGTGGAAGCTGTCCACCATCTTCAGCTGTCCTCTCAGGTCTTTCTTGGTCAGGTGGTCCAGCATGCGGGCGTCCACCAGGGACTCCATGAAGTAGGAGCGATACTGTGGCAGACCCAAACTGGGCAGCCACTCGTTACCGATCCACTCGTGGTTCATGTCTCCGTAGGCCAGCGTCTGTGAGCGGAGAGGGCGGAGCTTTGTCAGAGTTAAAAATAAAAAAACTGTTTATTCCTTCAGGATTCTGTTGATTTATTAACTCCTTATTCAAATAAAACACTAACATATGACAGGACTCATAAAACCTTTAAACTGAGAATAATGATGATCTATAGATGTGAAGACGTTAGTTTTTAACATCTAAAGAGACAAATATAGTATTTATGAAGCTGTTTTATATTAACTTTATGTGTGCTCTGCTTTCAASCAGAAAGAAAGCAACAGTTCACAGCAAAGAAAAGTACAAACTTTACTGGAAAAACGTTGAATTTAAAGGAAAAACAGGAWGAAGGAAGTATCTAAAACGAGGTTCTTTCAACCACACATAAAAACATGAACAAAAAGCTAAAAGTTGCAGAAAACTGGGATGAAAAACTGAAGAGTTCAGGGGTGATTGTGTGCAAACCTGGGCCCAGCTGCCCTCGTCATCCTCCTGGTGTTAGCGTGGTTAGAGTGAGCATGGTGAGAAGAACAGAAAGGTGAGGGGTTAGTGAGGCTGCACCACTGGGTTAGAGCACTTTAGAGTGGAAAATATGAAATATAAACATGCTGAGGGAAAATATAAAGAGTGGTGATAAAGAACCACGCAGGAAAAAACTAATCAAACAACTGCTGCATAAAAACTGTCATATATTCTAGTTATTTTAAATTAAACATTAAATATGTAGAGGTGTGTGGCTGTAGGACTGTWTGATGTTAAAACTGTTAAATTACTGAGATACTGTGCAGCTTCAAGCTTACAACTGTTAATATCAACAGAGATTTTAGATTTCAGCTCTGCTAAACTGTCAGTTTCACTCTGATGCAGAGGAGCGTAGTTTAATCTGCAGGTGGATTTAGATCACATAACTGAATTTTACACAGTTTAAAGTTTAATTCTTAGTTTTAAACCTCCAGGTTTTTATTAACCATCTCCTGGAGAGTCCACAACATATATTGTGTCAACATGAAGCACTAACAACAGGATGACTCTTTCCATCACTGTTTCCTTGTCTCTAGCAGTGTTTCCATTAAGTAATAAATGTTATTAAAGTCACGTGAATACGTTTGTTCTCATGATAAGTCATTACAAACATGGCAGCGATGGATGTAAACACATAGCATGTTGCTACCACGACACTAGCGCTCATCATCAGAGGAGACGTCGGCGTCTTTTATCGAGGCTTTCCAGAGACAAGTCCCTACTTGGGAGCGCCTACGTATGCTGTGTTTTTGGGAAATTGTAGTCGCTGAGTTTACTATTTTATACTACTTCTGTGATATTACTACTACTTCTACTTCCTGTTATCTTCTTCATCATCGTCTTTTTCACCAGTAGAAACAGACGGTTGTTGATCACGTGACTCCTGTGATGTGAAAAAACTGTTTCCATTGCAGTTTTGTGAAAAACAACAATTTAGATACGGCTGAAAAACCACCTCATCCTAGTACAAAAACATTTTTGTCGAAAAACGTAATTTTTTTCGAAATTCACGTGTTTCCATTGAGCAAATTTATTTTCGAAATTCTAATTTGTGCATTTTCATGGTGAATGGAAACACAGCTGGTGTTGGTTAACTTCAGTATTTGTTTTTYAGTCACTTCTTTACTTTTCTACTAGTGGTGGAAATACAGACTGCACTGTTTATTCCAAACAGCATTTTAACACTGTTTAAAAACCATGTAGGTCTGAAATTAGCTTTTTTATGTATTTTATTCTACAGATGTTATAAAACCAGAGATAAAGATGTTTATTTAATTTGATTAAAACCTGCGGTTTTTAAAAATAGTTTAAATTATCCTTCGTCCTCACTGCACTTCAGAAACAACTTTGGTTAAAACTACTTTATAAATCCTAAWGTCACTGACAGGAAGTGACAAGTTCATTCAGATTCTGCTGCAGAAACAAGCTCATGTCTGAGACACAGCAGCTATTTCAACAGCACAAACACACACTAACGCTCACAACTAATGAACAAGCACACACACACACACACACACACACACACACACACACACACACACACACACACACACACACACACACACGGTCTGAAACAAAGCTCCCACACCAAAAAGAAAGAATAAAGCAGTAGAAGGAGCGACTGCAGCTGCCTCACCAGTCTCTGTGCAGAAACATCAACAACCATCAGCTGATCGATTCAGGGCTGCTGCCAGTACTCAATAATCCACCGYGTCCATCTGAACACATCATCACCAAGATTTCTGTGTGTTTGTTCTAGTTTTACTTTWAAATATCACAGCTGCAACCCTGCACAACAAGTCTGCTTATTAAAGTTTGTTCTGAAGTGTGGGAGGATCGTTCATATCTGAAATCTCTTATTTTAATCTGCTTTAAGAGCAGCAGTGAATAAATGAGATATGATTCTGGATACAGACACTCCTCCCTCTGTACAGTCACACTGACCAAATCTCACTGAGCCACAGTAACCGTGTTTCCATCCAGGAGTACAGTGAATTTTTATCAAACTTTTCAAAGTTCACAAAAAATTAAATAAATAAATATTCGAATCTAGACTGTTTCCATCTAGTTTCCCTCTCGACTGTTTGATGCGAATAAACGAGGCTACACAACGCGTGATTACGTCAGACAAGGATACGCAAAGCGTGGTTACGTCAGACAAGGCTACGCAACGCGTGATTACGTCAGACGAGGGTACGCAACACGTGATTACGTCAGACGAGGCTACGCAACGTGTGATTACGTCAGACGAGGCTACGCAAAGCGTGATTACGTCAGACGAGGCTATGCAACGTGTGATTACGTCAGACAAGGCTACGTAACGCGTGATTATGTCAGACGAGGCTACGCAACGTGTGATTACGTCAGACGAGGCTACCCAACCTGTGATTACGTCAGACGAGGCTACGCAACTCGCGATTATGTCAGACGAGGCTACCCAACCTGTGATTATGTCAGACGAGGCTAAGCAATGCGTGATTACGTCAGACGAGGCTACGCAACTCGCGATTATGTCAGACGAGGCTACGCAATGCATGATTATGTCAGACGAGGCTAC